TAATAAAAAAATATATGTTGGCTTTACACTTCGCCCCTATTCTATTGCCAACAACGGTTATTCAGCATCTCAGACCGGTCATTCCTTATCCGTAAAAGATCTTTTGTAATAGAGATAGGAGAAATATATAATAGGATAGGAATAACCGGTCTTAACATGCTAAGACCAAAAAATCCCTTAGGTATCTAATAACCTTGCTTTTGATATTTATAAAAAAAACTATAAATATAAATTAAATTACATTTACTTCTAATAACTACAAACAATATACAACACAAATTCTGTCTGTGTTAACTACAGTAGCTGATAAAGAAATATCTAACAACTTTTATTTTATAAGTTGAAAATGAGTCATTTATTTTTCAAATAACTTCTCTTCCTATTAAAATAGACAATCAGTTGGTTTAAATAGAGGTAAAAATTATACATAAACGATAGAAAAAAGATAAAATAGACGCTTTTTTATTTATAAATCGATAAACTTCACCTTCAACAAGCGTAGAGTTATTTCAAATCTTTCTATCCCGACTAATGTGTCTTTCTCCTAAGACTTGAGGTGGTAAATAAAAAAAAAATCAAATCACACCATCTCTGTAATAAGTAAATGCCTCTTTTTCTCTCGAAATTGTTGGAATTATTCGTAATAAGAGATTCAAAATCTTACCCAGAAAAGAGCACTGGATGTAAAGAAACGAACCTTCAATGGCCACGCACTAAATTAACTAGGCTGGCTTTCCATGTCCCATTCCTTTCCCCCCTGATACCATACCCCCTGCAGTTACCCGTTCTGTCGAAACAATTTAGTCTTCTCCATATTACTATATCTCTAGAGTCAATAATTTTCTATGAGGAACTACTGAACTCAATCACTTGCTGCTGTTACTCTTCAGTTTTCTGTTGAGGTCTATCTTGTTTAAAATACTAAGATATTAAATATATCTATCTAAATATAGAGATAATTTTCTATTTTATTCTTTTATTCTAATTTTTTCATTTTTTTAGTTTAGAATTTCTTTTAGAGTTTAATTTCTTTAGTTTTTTTTTTATTTTCTAATAAAATTAAAATTTCTAATAGAATTTGAAAATAGAATTTCAAAATTCTAAACAACTAAACAAAAAATGAAAATTTTCTATTTTGAATTCGCCCTTTTGTAGTCCGAGATATAACCCCTATGCCACATAATGGCTGCAGGCCACCTAAAAAAAGGCGTGTGTAAAAAAAAAAATATATTGAAGAGATTTCAAGAGAAATAAATAATTCAATGATTTCACAATATTATTATGGTTTGAGAGAAAGTAACAATATCTACTCGGACGAGTTGTAGTTCCTCCAGTAGGGTTAGGGGTTTTGCTTTTCTAATCCCCTGAATTTGCAATGGAAGTTGCAGTTTCTTCTATCATTAATACAGTTTCAGGAGGAGTTACACTTCTCCCTTACATACCAGAGTTTGAGACTCAGGCTAGAGATTCCTTCCGATCTGATTGAATAAGACCAAACTCTCAAACCATTCTCTGCCACGTCTTATCGAACTACACGACCTCAATCCTCATCTCTTTCAGTCTTGATGGGTGAGGTTTGTGCTTGGCTTGTACGAAACTGTACTGCATCTAGCATGTGACGTAGATTTTTATTGTTAACCCGGCGTATGAGTACTACTTGGAAATATGATAAATTTATCTATCTAAAAAGAGCTTCCTAAAGGAATAGAACTGGGTGCTATCAATCCTCCACAAAAACCATTGTACGCATGAGTAGAAAGAAGTAGATGAGGGATGGAGTGAATTAGAGACAGTTTCTCACAGGGCTTCTTTCACTCACTTGAGTTTTGTTTCGGAGAGGCTCCTACACCCACTCATTCCTTTGAGCAGAAGTCAGATTTCCAGAGTACCAGGACATCTTATTCGTAGTCTCTGAAGGATGAGAACCAACTATGTAGCATCTACATCGAGAGTTTAAGAATTGTATACGTCATTAGTCCGATCTTGAAAGGTCAGCCACGAGCCCGAACCTACGGGCAATGCCAATGTTGGCGCACCGCACCTTCCTCTAGGAAGTAAAAGAATGTCCGTAAGGCCCAGGCGACTGTTTACTAAAAACACAGGTCTCCGCAAAGTCGTAAGACCATGTATGGGGGTTGACGCCTGCCCAGTACCGGAAGGTCAAGGAAGTTGGTGACCTGATGACAGGGGAGCCGGTGACCGAAGCCCCGGTGAATGGCAGTCATAACTATAACAGTCCTAAGGTAGCGAAATTCCTTGTCGGGTAAGTTCGGACCCACACGAAAGTGATAACTTTCAAATTCAGAGAAACCCTGGAATTAAAAATGGGCAATCCTGAGCCAAATCCTGTTTTATGAAAACAAACAAAGGTTCAAAAAGACAAAATAAAAAAAAGGGCCAGAAATGCCCGACTTATCAATTTATCTGGTAAACTACTGGGAGCTCATGTAGCTCATGCTGGATTAATCATATTCTGGGTCGGAGCAATGAACCTATTTGAAGTGGCTCATTTCGTACCGGAGAAACCGGAGGTGATCCAGCCGCACCTTCCAGTACGACTACCTTGTTATGACTTCACAGTCACTAGCCCTGCCTTCAGCATCCCCCTTCTCGCTTTGCTTCCCCTGAAGGGAGCCTCACTCTGCGGGGGAATAGGTTTAGCATTAACGTCTTTCACCTCCAAACCCTGATTCGAACCTAGTGTCAACATCTACGAACTAGTTATACTAGCAACTTGCTATGTCATGTCCATTCTCGTTACACATATGATATGGTACCCCTTTATCCTAAGATCGAAATTTGGGCAAGGAGATGGCTAGCGCTAGCAGGAGAAGTAAGAAAAGGAGGTCTAATTAACTACTAGCTCTAAAGCATACTACTGGCAAGCTCTTAGAATGATTCAATTCAACCAAGATCTTGGCATTGGATGTAAAGCCTTGATTTCCCGAGTCTTCCCCTTTTTTAATTGATCTATTTTAAGCGAGTGGTAAACTTATCCAATTGAAAAGAATATTAGGCTAAGGCCCTTTATCCATGGTTTAGCCAGATGGAGTTGCTTTCTATGGAGTTTTCCTTTTTTTTTAGTTATTAAGCTAGGTAGTGTAGTATGGTATGGTTCTCCACGTCTTTTTTCTAAGCATATAATCAAGTGCCCTTCTTTTTCTTGTAATTTTTTTTTTTGGCAAGTGCCCTTCTTTTTCTTGTAAAAAAAAACTTGTCGTAAGCTTTTTTTACTTTCATTTCTCACCCCATTGTAGGGAACTATCACATCGCAGATAGCCAAAGCCGGGTATGTTCCTGTGAAAATAGTTATCAATAATTACCTTCACTTTTGTTCTGTAATGTGATTGGAAAGATAAAAAAGTTTACCCTTTCTCCACTTAAAATCGTGGCTTTAAAGAAGGAAGCAAGCTCGTACCTATACTTTCCATTCCCCCATAGGCAATACAAGGTTAGCAGCACTTTTGTCTTTCTCTCACTGCTTTACTTACAAAAGAGAATATCAAACCTTACATTCCCGAAGGCATCTCAAAGAAAGAAAGCTTCTGAGAGTATGGGTTGAGGCGGCATCTCTCGAAAAAGAGTTTAGGCGGGGAAGATTCCTGCCTGGAGGAAGAAAGAGAGCTTAGTTTAGTGGCAATTTCCACACCACAGCCGAAGAGTCTTCAACCGAAACATAATCAGTAGCAGAAGCAAACAAGAGAAGGGTTGCAAGATCGGCTGCGTTATCAGTTGCCAGTTCGTATTTCATTTTCTTTGTCCCTTCTTAGAAAGCACTCACTGAGTTACTTACGGAATCTCAAATCTCTCTCGATGCCGAGAATTTTTTATGTGTCCAGGTCGATTAGAGGTTCGGTTTGCTTCTCCCCTTTAGCATTCTGGGCCCATGAAAAAATAAAGAAA